ACTATGCTTATCTCTCCTGGGCTGTGTTTATGAAAACTCTATTAAAACTATTGTTCATGTATAGTCTCAAAAGGGATCTAATTATAAAAAACTCTTTATCCGAATGTTAACTGTAGACATGGAAGTTTTAATTGCACTGGTTCTATTTGCCATCTTTTCCGAATCCCTTTGAAGATGGTGACCTCCTTATCCTGAAGCCATAAAGCATTATTTGTAGGGGGCATTTTGGAGACAATTTAGGTTCTCTTTTACAGTACCTTTAATATACAGCCTTGAGATTCCCATTCTCTGATTTTTTACCTGTGAGTGACCTCAGCCCAGAATTTTTTTTCAAAATGCTGGGGGCATGCAAGGAGACATCATTTTAACATTCAAAATAGGAAACCCTACATTTTTTATAGCTCTTTGTACATTCACTGTGTCCCCACTTGTTCCTGGGGAGTACAGGTACTCTGCAGCTCTGGCAAAGCCCCTGTGAGACTAGAATAAGCTCTTCTGGAAAGAGAAGGATGGGGAGGTTTTAAGGTACGAGCCAAGCCAAACTCATGCTGGAGTCAAAGAGCTGGCTGAAATCCCTGAATTGAAGAAAATAATTGTCTCATATTGTTTCAATATTATTTTTAACAAACTGATGACTGATTGAAACGTAACAGGCTAGGGATTGTTTTTTTTTTTTTTTTTTTTTTTTTTTTGGGTTTTTTTTTAAATGAAAAATAAAATTGAAGAAACAGCTGTTGGCGTTCAAATGGGATCCTGTTACTGTGTATTTACTCTTCTAATGTTTGTTTCACTAATATTTACCACAAATCTTATTTGAGTAAGATAGTAAGACATCTAAAGCATGACACATAATTACACAGAAAAAGAGAATGCTGACTCAAAAAGAAAACATTTTTCCATTTGAGTGTATTCCACTGTCTTAATTAAAAGCCTAAAGAGTATTGTTGAGTAAGATTTTAGTTATGATCATATTTCAATTCAGGCTAAAGAAATGCTGAAATAAATTGGTGGTTGAAAATTCTAAAATCCCAAGAGAAATTGCTGTGTTCCAGACACTCTTCTAGGTGCTTTTAGCTATGTTAGATCATTTAACCCTCATAATGCCTGTGTGGGGTAGGCACTATTATTACATCCCCATTCAGCAGACAGACCTCTCTTGGTTACAGGTTACACAGCTAGTAAGTAGCAGCCTAGGCAGTCTGACTGTAGGCTGGCTCATAACCATTACTCTAAAGGCTGTTTTAAAACTTGAGGGAAACAGGTTACTTAAAGAAAATAGGTGTCAGTAGATAATTTTATCCTAAAATATAAGTAATTCTTAAATAGTAATAGCTGCCATTTATCATGCTCCTACTTATGTGTCTGGCTGTATGCTAAGCACTTCCTATACATCATTTTATTCAGTCCTCAAAAAGCCTGTGAGGTAAAGGATTTATTATCCTTGTTTTACAGAAGATGCAGCTGAGGATTAGGGAAGTTGAGTAACTTGCTGAAGGTCATATAGAACTTGTAAGTAGCAGAGCTGAAATTTGAACCAGGACTATTCACTTTCAAAGACCATCAGCATCACCACTGCTGGGCTGCTTTCTCCATGTTACAATACACTCCCCTATGCCTAATAAGCTTGTATTCCCTTCCTAAACAAAATTGTTGGTAATGAAAAATGTTGATCAAGAGGAGAAGATAAAGGAGTTTTGAAGTAGAGGAAAATTGTCATATTAAAATACAACAAAAATATTTTTGGTTGTCATTAAAAAAAAAATAAAACAAGCATATCTTGCACTCTGTTCCAGAGTGTGTTACAATATTATCACAGAGTTTTGACATTGTGATATAAACATGTTTTGTTTATAATTGGAAGACTGTGCAGCTAGAATAACTTTTTGCTTGGGAAGTCGATATCCTAGATAAAGCATTTCATTTTTGCACAGAGAAATTAATCACAGTACCTATTCAGTGAGAATTAGCGGTGAAATTTCTAACCTTATAGGTGAGAGAAATATTGGTTGCCCAGTTGAGAAAGTGATTTTTATTTTAAATAAAATATAAAACAAGAATATTAGTGGGTCAGATTCCTCATTCCTGACCTTATCAATAAAAGACGGTTTGAAAATAAGATTATGACACCAGAAGGCAAGTTCCCTTTAATTGCATGTAACAAGGATATGTACTGTATTCTGGAAAAAAAGCACAAGGGTAAAAAAACAAATAATAATTAAATCTAATTATAGATTTTGGTGTCAGTAAGACCTGGTGCTATACTTGCCCTGAAATTTTGGGATTAACCTCTTTAAGTTTCAGTGGATATAACAACGGAACCTTCTTCCAGTGATTGTTATGAAATAATGGACATGTAAAGAACTCAGCCAATCTTTGGTGTATAATATGTTCTTAAGTATGTTAAGTTTTCTTATTATTACTTCTTATTAATACTGTTTCCACATTTCTGGATGTGCTTGGTCAGGATTCTGTTTCCTTCAGGGGTTCTGTTCATCCATCTGTTTCGTAATACCCCTTCTAAAAGACTGTTCATATTGACCCCACCCTGCCAACCCTCTAGCTAAAGGAAGCATCAGAACCCAAAGGGGCTTAGTCACTTTTAATTTTAAGGAGTTAGCAAAATCAATTTATTACTTGGAAATAAAGCATTCAGTGAACATTTCTTGTGGAGTCCTGCATTGGAATTGTTTTTCGGCGAAGATAAATATCCATATGTATATATTCCCAAGTTATATGGGTTAAATTTAATGAAATATCATGAGTTAAAGTAAGGAAAGAAAGAACTGAACACGCTTCTATAATGAAGGAACATGAATATACAAGCAGAAAGCTTCTTTTTTGCTTCTCTTCAGCAATGGATTATGGCACATTTAGGATGAAGAAACTTGTGGGGTCAATCATCTTATTTTCCTTTTCTATCTCTGTTCCCTCCTAGAAAATGATTCTTTTCCTACATTTCATAAAATAAGTCATTGGCATTGTATTTGGGCGTAAGAATACAGAAGAACTTTCCTCATACTTAGGTCTTATAGCTTTAGTTTACTAAAGTTTACTTTAAAGGAAAATATAATATGCATTATTGAAACCACAAACATGTAACTGTTAATTATCAGTGGACAATTTCAATCATGAAAAATGAAATATACAGAAAATTCTAAGATATAATTTTAGCCTTTGGGCTCAGTTTGGTTTTTTTGTTTGTTTGGGGTTTTTTTTTTTTTTTTTTAACCATTCATTAAAGCTTTTAGGCAATCTACAGTAATTAATTGGGAATTTATTTTCTTTGACTCTGAAAAATGCCAATTTTAAGTCATGTCACTCTAATGTGTGATTGTTTCTAATAACTATTAATGTAGCCATCCACAAACCACTTATTTCAGTGGCCACAGTGCTTACTGGGATAGATTTGTGGGCTCAAAGGTTATTATTTCCAGTTTAATATGAAACAAGTTCAGAAGATCACATAAGCTAATCTTAGCATAATAAGCTGATTTTAGCATGTTGTAATTACCAAGTCTAACTTCAACACTGTTTTTACAGAGAAGACAGTTTTCTACTATCACTTCAACTAGTGTCCTTTCTCCAGTTATCAGCAATTTTCTTATTTGTTTTCACTATACCTCCATCTCCCCACTTTCTATGGAGTAAGAGCCTCCATAGTAATTAATTGATTTCTCTTGGAAAAAAAAAATTTATTGCATAATAATTCTTCCCATTCTCAGATAAGCAAGTATTCTTCAGCAGTTGTGATAAGTTGTTTTTAGTATGAAGTAAGCCAGGGAGCTCAGATTCCAGTGAAATTTCATGTGTCCCTGGAAATGATCTTTCTAAGAACTAGTGAACATTTTATTTATCTCATGCTTACTGTGCTGGCATCATTGTGTTAAATTATTATTGTTACAAAAAGGGAGTAAATTAGTGCCTTGGTAATTAAGACTATAGAACACCTTTATATTTTGTTGGGCTATTTGGTTTCAAAGGTATTATCCCTTTTTTTAACACCGAACAGAAGTGTGGTCTGAGTCTTCAAGAAACGAAGGATATATTTGCAAAGGTAACAGCATTTGAAACAACAGGACATCATAAGTACAGAGTATTATAGAGTATTATAAAGGATTTATTTTGAACCCTGAGAACGGAATACATTAGGTTAAAATTTTTAAATCCCTGAAGTTTAGTTTTAAAGAAAATATAAGTAGCCTGTGCCTGGTTTCCTTTAAAGCCATTTTTGTCACTGACTTCAGGGTAAAGGTCTGAATTAGGATCGGAATGGGTCCATTCCATTTTAGAGCGTTCTTGGCATGGTTAGATTAGCATTAGTTCATTCCTGGTCAGAAAGAGGTGGAATCAGTTCAGCCTATGAATTTGACCTGATTAAGCCAAGAAAAGCTTCCTAGAATTGAGTTTGATTCTCCTGGGCAATCTCAGCCTCAATCTCAAATTCTGGAGCTGAGTAGTATATAGTGACTTGATTAAATGGTATGGACTTTAAAACCATTTTCTTACTTAAAACTGTAGTCTTACCATGTAGTACAAGTAAAATTCCTCATGAATACATGTCCCAATTTGAAGTTGAACTATTCAGTAGCCACATTTTCCAGAATAGTTAACCTTAATACCATTCTTAGCTTTAGAATCTTTCTGAACAGTAAATGAAAATTGATAATGAGGAAAATGAACATTTATAGGTGTTGTTAGTATTAATTGCTTCTTAGTTAAACTGAAAATCCTTTCTAACATTTTAATGGTATCATTTGTTTTTAAATTTTAAAAAAAACAGTTGCTGAGGTGCAGTTTTGAGCCATTCCCTTTTTCTTTTGTACTTCAATTTTTATTTTATTTTTTATATACATCAGGTTCTTATTATCTGTTTTATACATATTAGTGTATATATGTCAATCCCAGTCTCCCAGTTCATCCCACCACTACCACCCACCCCCACTTTCCCATTTCTTTAAACATTTCTATTACAAAATATTAAAACACCTATTTTTTCTCAGAGACCAGCATGCTGATGATGTCAAAGAAGGCTTTGAAGAGAGAACAGAGAGTGAAATGAGGACATCACATGAAGCCACAGGTACCCATAATAATCTCATATTATTGATGCGTATTACTATTAATACTCAACAATCAAAACTTAACTGGAATGTAGCAGTCCCTTTTATATATTAAAGATAAACTTTGGTTGGTTCTGTTACCACAGGCAATAAGCATTTATTGTTCAGGATAAATTTGGTGTATACTTCACAATGATATGGATTCATCTGTGACCTGTATTTACAGTCTCTTTCACATATCTGTACAATATTGTAGGTAAAGTTTGAATAAGGCATTCTATTTGGTCCTTGTCGTGAATTTTTTTGATATTGTTGATGTCATTTGCTTCATATGTTTCAGACTCATCTCAGAATGTGTTGAAATTCAAATAGAACTAATATGGTCTTAATCTAATACCACAAAATGAAAAGGAAATTACTTGAACAAAAGTTTTAAGTTGTATTGGAGAAAGTAATTTGTCTTACATCTTTGCTGAATAGATATTACAGTGGTTTAACTGAACAATGAAGTCATAATGACTGTTACTCATAGTATAGATGGTGTTTATAATTTATGCATAGTTTTATAATTATTATTTATTTTTTATAAGAAAATGTTGTCCCGATTATGATTTTAACGATTGTCCCTGGGGACTTTGCTTGTCATGTGCTTTATTTGGTTTAGACTGTTTATAAGATTGTAGAATAGCACCTAAGGACTGTTTGCCTATAATGACCTATTCCATAAGTGATGCTTTGATTTCCATATCTGATTGTCATAAAGCAGTAATTTATGATTAATTTAAAAGTTATATTCTCTGCTGTCCTCAGCATGTTTTATGGTGTTTAGTCTTGCGCCACATACAAACCCTTCAGATGGCCAGGGTTTGCATCCCTGATCTACCTCCTGCTAGCTGTGTAATCTTGGACATTTCATGGAATACCTTTCAGTGCTTGTTTCCTTATCTGTCCAGAAGGTTGCTGATGGTAACTCCCTCCCACAGTTGTTATGGGGATTGAGTACAGTAACATTTGTAACTTGCTTAGAACAGTGCTTGGCACATAATAAGTGCTATAATGTTTCTGGTCATTTAGAAAGGAAGAAAAACATTTAATTTACGAAGCTTTTGTCATCAGGGTATATCGGGTTCTTAATCAAAGGCTTCAGCCTTTCTTTGTGAATGGTGGTTAGGAGCACAGCCTTCATTCTCTTCTCAGCTCCACCAGTACTAGCTGTGTGGCTGGCTTTGGGGAAAGTATTTAACTTCTCTGTTCCTCAGTTTCTTTTTTTTTTTTTTTTGCGGTACGCAGGCCTCTCACTGTTGCGGCCTCTCCTGTTGCGGAGCACAGGCTCCGGACGCGCAGGCTCAGCGGCCATGGCTCACGGGCCCAGCCGCTCCGCGGCATGTGAGATCTTCCCAGACCAGGGCACGAACCCGCGTCCCCTGCATCGGCAGGCGGACTCTCAACCACTGCGCCACCAGGGAAGCCCTCCCCAGTTTCTTAATAGTACCCACATCACTGGGTTATTATGAGGAATAAATACATCAGGGGCCAAAGTATTAGCTGCTAGTGGTAGTAGTAATAGGAGAAGTAGTGGTAGTATTGTGAAATGAGTGTCTATTGCATGGAATTATCTGATCGTTGCAAGGTTTAGATAGATTCCTAATAAAATCTTCTGGGCTCTGAACTTTTTGAGGGAGTAATAATTTGACAACCTTTTCGGTTTCTTCCTAACTTGGTGATGCAATTCACTTTTCATTTTATTTGCTGAGCTGATTTTGATCATTTTTTTCTGAAAATAGTCTAATTAATGGAGAATTTCAGATTTATTAACATGATATGCATGGTGTTCTCTCTTTTTCTGTGGCAGTTTTATGTCTTTTCAAACTTTGTATATTTTTATCCGATTTTTTTAATTTGAATTGCCTGAATTTTTCTGTTTTACAGTTCTTTCCGAAGAAACATTACTAGGATTCATATATAACTCTTTGTTATTTTTGTCACCCATAAAACCTATAGTTCAATATGCGTATTTTACTTACTGTCTTATTTTTCATTAGTGAAAGGGAGCCTCATAAAAACAAGCTGCTTTGAGAATTTTTGCACATATGTTCCTAAGTAAAATTCGCGTATTAATATCTCATCCAGTTTTAACCTCCTAAAATGAGTTTGATGACTTCCCTTCTCTTTTGAAACATTTTATGTAAAATTTCCATTAAAATTAATTTTTACTGTAGTGAAATCATGTTATGATTGTCAGCTTTTATTTAACTGCTTTCTTAGCTTTAGATTTCCTTTCTTTCTTTTTTTTTTTTTTGAAAATTTTTTCCAGATTCATGTTGTATGGAAAAGATTTGAATTTCACTTCCTGTTACCATTTAAGAGTTTATTGGTTGTCTTTCCCTGGACCCCATGATCCTTCAGTCCAAAATGAGATCTTATGGCGTCTGAGGGCTCCTGTATCTTGGTGATGTTGGTGATATCTCAGATCCCAGTCAGTGGGTGGATGTGTTTAGCTTTTTCTGTCCCCCCTGCCTCTCAGGTCTCAATAGAGCCTTGACCCAGTGTCTCAGATTGGGCTCTCTGGAAACAGACATTGGGAGTGCTGTGTGCAGAAGGTTTTTGGTGGATACTCTTGGGAACGATACCACTGAGAGAGTGAGAGAAGCAACAGTGGGCAGAATGAGCTGTGATGCAGTTACAGCAGAAGCCTCAGTCGATCCCATAAAGGAGCTCCAGATGACCCTTCAGAGTTATCCCGAATTTAGGCATGAGGACCAGGCCTTTGTATTGACCAGTCCTTGGATGTTGGCTGAGACGGGCCGTGTCCTTGGGCAAGGAGCCTCCCTTTGGCTTAGGGCAGTTCCTGGAGAGGGAGGTAGCTCTGAGGCATCAGCAGTCAGCAGGTAGGAGAATGAATCTCTGGGTTCCGAAGTTGGGAGCCCACCACAGTGTCCACTACACCTAGCTAGTCATTTGGTCTCTGACTTTCCTTTAAGAAAAATCAAACAGAACTGAAAAAAACTGAACAACAAACCAAAACATCCTTTCACATATGTGGGATTAGGCCCAATTCAATCCAATCTTTTTGTTTTAGACAATGAATCTGGCTCCTAAATTCAGTCTTTTCATTATTTTGCCTGAGATGTCATGCACTTTATTTACTTTTTTTTTTAGATCCAGGATTTTTTTTTAATCCAGAAAAATTCCTTCAGTTATTATATTTATTATTACTTTTGTTCTTTTCTCCTTTTTGATTGGTAATACCGTTTACTCTTGGGTTAGATCCAAAGGATGATATTCAAAATATTTAACAACTGGTTTGACAGCCAACATTGCACAGGAAAGTTAAAACAAACACCAGCCTTAGTGCTGGAGCAGAGTTTGGAAGCTCCCTGCTGTACTTTGTTGCAGCGTCTTAGGGAAGTCCCGCAAGGGCCTGACTGCTGAGGGTGGAGGGGACTATTATCAGCCATTATGGAAGTATTTTAATATTTCAACAGCTTATGCATTTTTTGATATTCTAGACATATTTCTCAAGTTGAAATGTCTTACTCTAGCTCTGTCAAGTCTACTAGTTACTGCCTTTAACGTGAATTTTAATAGTGGTTTTTATTTCCCTTTAATTTCCTGCACTAGCTTGTTTTTTTCTTTTCATAGCCTGTTTTGTTTTGTAGACGTCATGTTCCCTTGTGCCTTACTAAAATCATGAAACTCTTCTGTCAGTAGATCAATGCCCCTCTCCCAATGTTGTGTAGAACTTATCAGAGGCCCTTGGTGATTGTTTTTTATTTTATCATTTTTGAGTGCAGAGAAGTTTCCCCAGGTTTTTTGTGAAGAACACTTACCCTTCAATGCTCCCATCTGGGTGCCAGTAGAATTCCTCTTTCACACCTGAGCCTGAGGGTCAGGTCGATATGCTGATCCTAGTAGGTGCTCACCAGTGTTCATTCACTGTGTCATTCACCAGTGGTGGAATAGGGGATAGGGGAAAGGAGAGAAATATTACAGTTTGTGTACTATTTAGTATAGAGGAGTCTGAAAAGAAGCCACCCTGTTCCTTATAGCTAGGAGGATTTAAGATTCAGTAAGCCCATGAGAAATATTTTGTTTGGAGTCTTAGAGCAAATTGATTTTTAAAAGCACTTCCCCCTAAAAAAACCATCTTCCTACCTTGTTTCTTCAGTTAATTCAATTCCGTACAATATGTGTGATTATGAGCCTTTTTGATTTTTTGATGATTGCCACTATGCTACCGAATTTGACCTTTGGGGACCTTTACTGAATACAATGCATCACTTTTTCTTCTTTTTCTTTTTGTTGGCTTCTGTCTCCTTTGCCTGAAAGATAAACGAATTCATTTCCTCCATTGTAGGAAGGTCCATTCATAAAGGATCCTATACATTGACCTTCAGATTTAAACTCCTATATTCCTGGGAACCGTGTAATTTTCCTTTCCCTTCTGCAAACATTCTCTCTCAGGGGTGCTGATATGCAGAAAGAGTTGAATTTTATTTTGTAATGTACTAGATTCTCACTTGAAAAATCAGGCTTGCCTTTTGCTTCCATAGCAATTGGTTTTTATTTTGGTTGTTAACCTTGAAATGATCCTCAAATATTTTTCATGCCTGAGTTTAGGATCTTGGAGCTAATTTTATCCACACTCCTTGGTGCTGTGATCCATTTATTTTACCCAATCATTGTTATTGTTCATCCTTTTTATATTTAGTCACCAGTTAGTAACTCCATTAAAAAAAAAAACTTGGTTGACAGATGTATCCCATTTCTTCTGGCTTTTTTTCCTTTCACATTAAGAGCATTTTTTTATAGACTCATGGAATATTAGCTTGAAAGGGTCATTGACTCCTTTTCATCTTTGCCTGTTTATATTCAGTATACTCTCAGTGGCACGCCTTTCTTTCAAGATAGGAATAAGTTTTCCCGTTTGCTGAGTCTTTACTATATGTCAGACAGTGGAATAAGAATAAGCATTTTTTAAAATATGTAATTGTGACAGTGATCCTGTTACATTGATTTA